GGGAAAGGAGAAATGGAACGGCATAATAATAGAAATTGAATCGGAATCCAGTTCATCAGGCTCTGGATCTGACGACGTCCCCATTGCAACATACTGTAACACACATGAAGGTAAGTTTTCGCCAAGGTATTTGAAAAGTCTACACAAAAGACAAACAAAGTTTGATTCTTATATTAATTATTTCATCTGTGCAAAAATAAGTGTGTTTCTAGTTCCCTTTTCCAAGCTATAATTACGTACTCTGGTAAAGGTGTATTAATTTTGACTGTTTTCCCATTTTTTTATGTATACAAATATACGTAACATTTAACTGTATATTTTTAGTGTATGTAAAGCACATCTAGAGCTCCTGGGTTATGCGTTTAATAGATATTCTTACACAAATGTCTGCATTATAATAGTGTATATCATATTTTATTTTAAATTACAGTTTTATTTGATCTATTACAGGAAGCCGTAACAGTCCAAAAGAAACACGACCATCAAACGAGCACCGTCCAGCATCCTGTGATAATTTCACTTGTAGAAAAGAGGTTTGGGCAGCATGTCCAACTTGCTTATGCTTCCTCTGTTATGATCATTTTACATTATCAGATAAATGTAATAACCACAATTCCAATTTTTCACAGCTTACTTCCAATACACCAAAATTCCCTACTGCCAATGAAGAAGAAACAGAGGTATCACTGACTACACCTTCTGATGTATGCTGTGATGAAGTGATGTTCCCAGCACCTTCAAGTCAACCACCTACTCCAGAGGCCAATTTTTCATTTATACCAACTATACCTTTAATTCATGATGTTAATGAAGTAGATGGGGAAATGATGTCTTTGCTTCTGTCAACTGGGCCTATTCCTCCACTATTTTCTGAGACTGAAGAAGTAACATACCCAGTCCTCTCAACCGCACCCATAAACGTTGAGCCATGTGAAGCAAATGAACCTCCTTCCATAGCCGCAACAATGCCAGAAGCATGTGAGAATCGTAATGTAGATAGACTGGCTGCTGATTATGTAGTTGATGGAGACCCTAGGCAGTTTTCCCCAAAGAAGATTAAAGAAATTAAAAGTAGAAATGCTTTGGTCAAGAAAAAAAGGAATCTGGGGGAAGCATATACCACAGAAAAAACAAACAAACTGATGCCTGCAAAAAGAGATGCAATGGAAAACAGTAAGTGTACTTACTGTGAATTTAAAGAGCTTGACTGTAAAAAATTAACAGAAGCAGAACGTTTCCAAATAAGAAGAGCATTCTATGATATGGGGAACTTACAGAA